GAAGTTGTTGCTGGCGTGCACCCGAGGACCCGGCAGAGGCGGGATCGCCAAATTCCAGGCGGTTCCCAAGCGGCCATCGGTTGGGACGGACACGGAAACCACACCGGCTCTTTCATTATGAACATTATCATCCATCACTTTTCTGGAGGATTGTCTGTATGTCCTCACTAGCGTCACAGTTGAGGTGGAGCCGAGCCAGCCCACAAAGGCGGTTGTGCACGGCGATGTTAGATGAGGCCTCTTTGGCACATAAGTAGATAGACTTGAACTCGGCCGTTGTGTCGCTGTGACATTTCTCCTGACTTGGCATCCTCTTTTCGCACCCTTGCCAGTTGAAACTACTTACGACCATTTTGGACAGGTTAGACCTTCTTTCACATCTGGCAGGAAAAAGGCCGTGTACTTGATTTTTCTGGCCTCCATTTAAAAGTTGAACTGAGGATATAGTCTTCCGGTAGTTAATGTTAGAATGATCTTGCAAGTAGGACAGATTAAAAGGAACAGGTGAAGGCTTGCGCAGAATTTTTCAGTTGGTGCCGTGACCCGGATCATTCTGGTAGTTACTCCAAGTATAAGATTGCAAGCATTAAAGATAAAAAGACCGGGTGGAGGTTTGCTCAGACCCCAGAAACTCTCGACTGTAAGGCAGATGTGCTACCCACTAGCGACCGTGCTGCATAAACAAATCCCAACTATCCATCCATTTTCTGTAGTGTCAATAGGGTCAAAGGGAAGATGAAGTCAGGCAGGGTACACCCTGGACTGGTCGGCAATCTATCGCAGTGCACAGATAGACAAAGGACTGTGGCGGAGATTGGGCAAAAGATAGGGTACATCCTGGATTGGTCGCACGTCAATGACAGAGTACGACAAGCAACCATTCATACTCCGATGGACATGTGACCTTCAATTTCCATTAGATGCAAGTTTTGGGGATGTGGGAGACCCATGCAAGCAGAGCAACAAAATGCAAACTGCAAGAATCTCGACTGTGAGGCAGACGTGCTGCCTATTTCGATCATCTTTCAAAAATATGGACTAAATTGACCTTCTTGTACATAATGTATACAAGTGTAAATATTGTGCTGTGAGTTCGTATCGTCACACTTGTTCCAATACGTGCATTAAAATGTTGTCCTCTCTATTTTCAGATATTAAAAAAAAACAACAAACATTCGAACTATTTCTGTCAGTAACGAGGGCGCTGACATACCGTTGCTGACGTCATGAGTTTAGAAGGGCAGTGTGTCAATCCCATGTTGACAAACGTCGCGTTTCCATCCAAAACCAGCTCAGACTGTCGCTGTTTGTTTTTTTTTGTAATCTCTTCCATGCTGCCCTCCCGTCTCATCCAAGTCATGTGATTTATGTGGGGGCGTGGCTTCTGGGGGGAAAAGCTCGTGAAGTGGAACACGGTGACCTGTCAGAGACCTTTCAGGTGATGTCAGTCATGTGACCAGCAATTCTGTCAAGCCCGTTGAGCATTTATTCCATATCCTTGAGATCTAGTACACTTTATCCTCCCGAGCAAGACAATTCAACGCACTGCTTCAACGGCGGTCTTACTCGTCATTTTGGTCAAGAGTTTTTTTTTCCCCCACTACGACTGCAATTTTTGGCCTACCACAGAAAACAGTATAAAGTCCAACTAAACTAGAAAGCATGTAGTAGTAGCCTGGATTACCACAATAGTAACATGTTGACAGCAGTTCAGGATTTCACCCAAAAAAATGATTGCCGATGCGCTTTATGGCCTCTAGGTGGCAATGTTGTCCATAATTTTGCATGAGGGAAGACACTGGTTTTCTCATTTATCTAGTAAAACACTACATTTAGCGTTCCCCCATTGCCACAAAAACAAAATGTCATCGAGTTTCTCAGCTCTTTCACGCACGACGACCGTGGGGAAATTTCATAGTCGTGGGATAAAGGTTACCAGAACTACAAATGCGCTCAATTGTCCGAGCAGTGAGGACAAAGAGGGTACGAGTACACGCCAATATGGATATCAAAAATAATGAAAGAATGCTCAACGACTTTCCATAAGCAGAATCAACTAATAATTAAAAATGTCAATTAAAAAGCGATATTGAAAAAAAAAAAAAAAAAAGAAGCAGCAGCAGCATGTCAGTGACACGAGCGTTCATGTAACGTTCATGTGCCTGTGAAGATTTTGCATTCGGCTAAATGACATGTTGGCTGTGTTGCTTGTGGTTGCCGTTGGAAGCTCAGAATAGATCGAGAACCGCTTTGCGACTTTACAACCCTTCATCAGAAACACAGACCACCAGGGCACCACCGGAAACCTGTGCTGCCCTCTCGTCGCTTCCATTATGAGATTAGGGTTAGGGTTTCAAATTAAGATTCAAGATTCATAATAGGATTTCAAACGAGGTTTTGGGTTTAAAATTAGAGTTTGAAATGTAGCCTTTGTCCACAATAATAGAATTGATGGGCTTTGAGTTGAACTTCAAACAAACTTAATTGCAACTTTTGTTTTTTTGGTCATTTTTCGACAATATGAGTGTACGACGATTCTATTGGCTGGACTTGAGTGGCTGTCGCAAACCCAGCGTGTGATTGGTCGGCATGACTGCCACTCTCAGCTCGGCTCCACCTACCACCCGCTGGGAAATCAAATCCTCCGGGTCTCCCGAGAACGCCGCAGTCCGTCCATCCGTACGTTGTTATCGTCATTGCCCGGGAGACTCCTGCGCGCGGGGAAGCATGCTGGCCTGCACACGTCTGGCTTTGCTGGGACTCGTGCTGCTCTGCCAAGGTAAGCCCGACAATTATTTATAACTCCAAGTTAAAAGTCTTCGATCCAAACGTTCGCACAGGATGCCAGCTCACGTCTCACTCGAGTACAGTAAGGATTGACTTCTCATCGGCAGTGTTTGAAATGATTCCCTAGCCATTATATGTATATCAAAAATATACAAGATTTTTTTTTTTTTATAATTTTAAGAATGACTGTAGTATGCACATTAAAATAAATATGCAGTTGGTCGCAGTGTTATTCCTCTAAACATATTTCATACGTTTTAAGCCACTGTAACATTACAGTGTCAACATAACACTGCCCTTCAGGGGAGATCCAAAGAAAACAAACGGTTGTATTGCGTGTATATTTATTTGAACATATATTAAAATAAATGTAAAAAAAAAAACCCTGTTTTTATTCTCAAAGTTTTAAGGAAAATGCATTGAACTTAAAAGTTAAATGTTGCTGAACTTTGACAGTGGTTCTTTTGTGGACGAGGAATTTTTCTATGGCAGTTCCTTTTTTTTAGTACAGTCGAAAATAGAAAGTGAATGATTAGATATACATTTAGGATGTAACAGTACAGGATACAGAAATGACAAATTAAAGAGTCATAAGCAATATATAGTATGCACTAGTTCAGTCATATTGATCACATTGAATTGATTTGTGCAACTGAAATTATGTAGTGACCAGTGAAGGGAAATTAACTTTTGAAATGCATCCAAGTACCTTTTTCCAGGTATCCGTTATTTACTTTTTACTTTGAAAACAGACAATGTCCTGAAAACAGGCAAGTCACACGCGTTGTGGTTTTCAGTCGATGCCCCGCCCTCTCCCTGTGATTGACAACTGTAATCACCACTTGGGAGCAAGAGATGTGGATGAGGATTTTTTTTTCTTTTTAGCAGCCTGATCCAATTGAGGCCACTGTCGCACTCCACTTCTTCCACAGTGTCCCATAAAATGTACGCTTCACTTTCAATGGATCAAAAACACTTTCGACAGCATCAGAACTTTTGTCGACAAGCTCACCACAGTTAGGGTTGGCAACACTTCTGACTCAGCCAGATTACTTTTAGACCATAACAGATTATTTTAGCCAGCATGAGAATAAGCTTTCTGTTTCAGGCTTTGAGGAAAACGGCGGTGGCGACTCGTGTGACAACTTCACGGACCTCAACCTGTCTCACTGCTTCCTGGGAACCAGCCTGTACGTCCGCCTGCTGCTGTACACTCGCGCCAACCCGGCGTGCGGGCGCGAGCTGCACCACCAGCGCTTTCCCTCTGAGCCGCTTTTTAACCTCTCTCGGCCCACCGCCTTCGTCATCCACGGCTACCGTCCCACCGGAGCGCCGCCTGTGTGGATCGACCACCTGGTGCGTCTGCTGGCTGAGCGGCGGGACGTCAACGTGATCGTGGTGGACTGGAACCGCGGGGCCGCCAACCTCAACTACCTCACTGCCGTGGCCTACACCAGGGAGGCGGCCCACAACCTGACGGGATTTATCAGGAGCATGCAGGTGAGACTTGCTGACATACAAAAACCTCACAAAAGGAGGTACACCGCCTTGTAGATGTTTGATTATGTCTTAACGGCAACATGCTGCAATGTATAGTATTATACCAGACATAGCATAAAAATAGTCACAATGTGGCTAATACACATGAGAGTCGACCTCACGACATGGACTATTGGAACTATATTTTGTGGTCTGACGAGACAAAAATACATAAGGTTGAGATTGTGACTAGGAGTATAAAGAGACGTGTGTCTTGCCTACTGTCACGGTCTGAATGTTGCTGGCACAGAACCTTAAATCGGTCTCAGAAGGAAGCCTCATTCATTCTTGAGTTTCTCCTCAGGAGGAAGGAGCCTCACTGGACTCCATGCACCTCATCGGCGTGAGCCTTGGAGCGCACCTCGCCGGCTTTGTGGGCGCCAACCTGAAGGGAAAAATCGGACGCATAACAGGTAACATGACTGTGAGGTTCAAATGAAACCTAGATATCGTTAAGACCCACCTACGATATCTGTCCACTCCTACTATGAAACATCTCAAGTGCCTTCTTTGTACTTTCAGGTTTAGACCCGGCCGGGCCTCTCTTCACTAGTGCCACACCAGATGAGAGGCTGGACCCGTCGGATGCCATGTTTGTAGACGTGCTGCACACTGACATGGACTGTGAGCAGCAAACACACTTCATGAGCTAGCAACTGGCAGCAAAAGTGCAATGAATACATGTCTGCCATCTGGTGGTGAATGATAATATTACAACTTAAAACTGAAGCTGATGCATATTCACAGTTGGGCACTTGCTAATTCGTAAAAACAAATTTATCGCAAGACTCTTGGTGATGTGAATTTGAAAGTGATGACGGGTAATTTGGGTGTCTTGCAGCTTTTGGCCTGCGGGGGGCTCACGGTCACATTGATTTCTACGCCAACGGCGGGGCCGACCAACCTGGCTGCCCCAAAACCATCTTTGCCGGTAAGCCACACATACACACACACACAAACAAACAAACACTTTGGTGTTGCAGAAATCAGCATGTCACCTCTCCCAAACAGGAAAGTCTTACTTCGTGTGCGACCACCAGCGCTCCATGTTCCTGTACCTGTGCGCCCTCAACGGCACGTGCAGTCTGACGGCGTATCCGTGCGCATCCTACGCAGACTTCCTGGACGGGCGCTGTCTGCAGTGCGAGGCCTTCAAGCCTGCTTCCTGCCCGCAGCTCGGTGGGGCCTTCTCCAACACGCAAGAAGCAGCTGCAGTAGTTAGTCAAGAGATTGATAATAATGATTACTGACAACAATGTATCTCGTTTCATTTTCAGTCTATGATCGTGACATGTAGTAACAGGCACTGAGTGACAAAAAGTGTTTTTTGTCACGTGTAGGCTATGATGTCATCCAGTGGCGGGAAAGTCTGTTGAAACTGGGACAGACCAAAGCGTTCTTCAGCACCACGGCCTCGCACCCCTACACCAGTAAGTCCGGATGCTTTTTTTTTGGGGGGGGGGGGGCAAGAATAGATGAGTGAAATTAAGACTGTCTGCCTCCAAGACGAAACATTGGAAGAATTAACAGATCAAATTTCACAAGGAACTCAAGTTTGATTTTGAGCGCCCCCACCCAAAAAAAAAGGGATATACTGAAGTTGCAAATGCCGAACCATCAATTTGTGGAGGTTCACCCCATTAAGAAGTGATTCTGAAAATCGCCCCACCTGATCAAATTTCACAAGGAACTCAAGTTTGATTTTGAAAAAGTGATATACTGAAGTTGCAAATGCTGAACCATCAATTTGTGATTCCTCCCATTAAGAAGGGATTCTGAAAATCGCCCCACCTTCATCATGCACTTTTGTGGTTGATCTAGAGCTGAATTACAGAGTGGACATGGTGACGTGGAACCAGTACCTCCGCTGGGGGGTGGTCTACATCCGCCTGCACAGCGGCAGGAACGTCACCGAGGCCCGCATCGACCAGTGAGTTAAGCCTGCTCACAAAACACATCGTCCATACATTCTTTGACGTTATCGGTCCTCATTTTAAGATTCATTAAATCATCTACGTCAGTGCCATAAGGTACACCGATCCAATAATTTTCCTATTCACAAATTTATTTTGGAACCTTTACACCAATTACTCACTGAAAGATTTGCCAATTTGAACTAATTTTGCGCTCAGGGCAAAACCCTGTCCAATTTAAAAGTAGTATTTTGTCGCCATCTTGTGGCATCTACGGGCAATTCTAAACCTTGAAAAGTCCGACTCAGTATTGATTTTCTCAAGAGTCTTGTTGCGTTCATCTAGCTCATTAAATTGTTTTATTTATTGATTGTAAAGAAAAAATTAAAAAAATGTTTTCGAATGTCTGTTATCATCATCACATAACATGTTGCTCTCTGATTTTTTTGCTCCCCGGCTAGCAAGCTTCTTCGCTTCGAGCAGTTCACATCCACGCGTCTTCTGGCCCAGTTCGATGAAGACCTGCCGCACGTGCACAAGATCTCCCTGCGCATCAACACGGGCAATGTGATCGGGCCTCGCTACAAGATCAGACTGCTGCGAATACGACTGACGCCGCTGGAGCGACCGCAAAGGTCAGCCGAAAACGTAAAAAAAATAAATAAATTAAGCGCTCGCTTTACTTCTCCAAATCGGAGCCCAGCGTGCTTGCTTCAAGTTTTATGTCACTCCAATTGAATTACGATGTTAACGGAAATTACAGACGGCAACACTCACGCATTTCCCGTTCCCGTCCAGGCCGCTGATGTGCCGCTTTGACATCTTCATGGAGGAGAACACGGAGGTGGCGTTCCGGCCGTTGTCGTGCGACTCTCGCCTCTAATTTGACCGTGCGCTCGGCGTGTTTGACGACACACGCAGTGGGTGGAGCTACAACCCGGAAAGATGCTCTGATCTCATAACAGGACCAAAATGAACTTTGAAGACTTTTTTTTTTACCTCAACGACACTCAGGTACAAACTTTTGTTTGTGGAGATTCTGTCAGCCTGGGTCCATGCTACACTACAAAAATTGAGGAAACTGCATTCTCCTTGCTTGTCGAAGACGTTTCACCTTTAATCCAAAAGTCAAACTCCGAATTGCGACGTTCCGGCAAAATTGGCCTGATGACCCCTAAAATCTTAAAAAAATTAAAAAAAGGGGGGGGGGGGCTCTCACACAATACTCCATTCTGGTAAGTTTTTACTCTGTGCCTTTTATCACTTGTGTTATGTTTCATATTGACATTTACAAACAGCACACAAAGGATGAAGTGAAAGTTTTTTTTTATTATTATTATTATTGTCACAACAGATCAAAATAAAATCTGTCCACACCTTATCGTTCCATCTCTCACGCGTACGAAACGAAGAAGAGACAAAAGGCAAGCTGCTTGAGCATTTATTCCGTTGGCTAATTTCCATCTTAAGGTCCGTGTACTCGTACGTCCTGAACGAATTAGTAGAATTCTTTGCACTAGTACAAGATGGAAGTAAATGCTCAAACGGGTTGTCTGCAGAGCAGGTAGAAACTCAAAACAAGACTACATGGAGAACAACGGACTAAAACAAGGACTCACTTTAAAGGGATGATAGGAAAGAGCATCAGGGGAAGCGGTGGGGCAGACTAAACATTGGAAACTCGTCGCCGTTGGCGGGGCGCCGTCACCAGCTGGGACCTGCCGGGAAGGGACACGCACACGCGCACAAACACACGCACAGCAGGAGGGAAGAAGAAATTGAGGTTAGGTCAAGAGGCGGCGGCTCTAATGCGGATCACGGCGACAGCGGAGGATTTTTTAGCCGTGTGGGTGTGGCCGAGCGAGAAGAGGAAACGGGATTGGACGAGCGCTCTTAGGTGAAAGAGGCCGGCGTGGTCGTTACACAAGGCCACGCGAAAAAAAGAAATCTTAAAAAAGACGCGCTGAGCTGCAGGAGGGAACAACGCAAATACTAAAAGGGGACAGACGCTATTATGCAATTTTTGTCACGACTTCAAACGACTTCTCAGTCATGGTTCGGCACCACATTTGCCCAATACCGACTCCGTCTGCAACCAACAATTGCTTGAAACAACAACAATGGTCGACGGCAAATTTGAATCCAAAATGGATTTGTGTCCCTCAATATATTTTTGATGCCAAATGGAAAAAAAAAAAAAACGTCTTCACTTTTTGCGAGTACGTCAGGTTTTGGAGAAATTTCAATTTTTTTTGTTTTGCAGTTTGACCTATAAAAAGCGTGTGCAATGCAGATTTTGCCATGCGCAAAAAATGTAGAAAAATTTACTTTTACCCCAGATTTTTTTTTTTTAGTCAAAATTTCTTGACCAATATTCTAGTGATTAATAGGACACAATTTTATTTTCCATTTAAGTGGATGACAAAATGCCCCCCCCTAATTACTGTTTGCAGCCAATTATTTGGTTTTGTTGAGCAATTAAAAAATAAAATAAAATAACTAAATCTTAACAACAGGGGGCATTGGGATGGATGCTATTTTGAGCTCACCGTTGTCATTACTGTGGCGGTTCTGCATCCTGATGGGCTGCCCGATCTTAAACCTCGACGTGCCGCGGACGTTCATCCTGTACGGACCTCCTCGCCTGGGACCCTGCACGCACGCACGCACGCACGCAGGGTTCAATATTGCCAGACGACCTCGGGCCACGCGTGCTTTCGGTCTCACCGTGTTGCCATCCCGCCTGCAGTCCCGCTCGTCCAGCAACATCCCATCGGCGTATTCGTCCTTGGTTGGGGGCGGGTGGCGGCCTCCCTGGATGGTGATGGTCACGCCCTCCAGACGCTTCTGACGCCGCCTCTCAAGGTCGTGTCTGAGGTCGCCGGGGCCGTGCAGCATCTGGGGGTGAGGGGGGATAAAAAATTAAATGGTGATGGTCTGTCAAGGTGACGTCTGCGGTGTCACGACGGAAAAACGGGGAAGTGGGCGTCACCTGCACGCCGCTCAAAACAGGAAAGAGCGGCTGGATGTCGGAGGGCGTCAGCGTCGTGTTCACGCTGAGGATGATGAAGATATTGCAGTGCGGCAGACTCGATTGTATAAAGCATCACGTCCGCCGATCGGTGTGACATACTGATTCGATGAGAACCTCTGGTTCAGCGTCAGCCCCCGCGGCTCTTCTTCACCATCGTCTCCTCGTTGCGGCGCAGAGAAACGTTGGTTGAGCGTGATGCCGTTGCCTTTGAAGTACAGCTCTGCGACACGCACGCAAGTCAAACGTGGGCCCGTGACCTCATGTCAAGCACAACAAGGCCGACATGCGATTCTGACCTTTGACGCTGTGCACCAGCGTGATGATTTGCTCCGCAAAGGTCCCCCCATGCGCGCCTTTGCTCTCCAGCATGCTTCCCGACGCCTCCGGCAGCAAGTCCAGATGCTGGCGACCGACGTTGACCAAGTCGATTGAGAGCTGGCGCTCTGCGGAGTAACACAGCGAGCTGCCAGGGAGAAGAGGAAGATGGGGGTGTGGGGGGTGCACCATTTTGTTATTTTCGCCCTCTAAAAATTCACATCTTCACTTTTTTCTAAAAACGTAATCATCTGAGGGCCAGCACAGTTTCGATGTTGGGGCTTTGGATCCATTTGCAGTTCTCCCGATGTCCAGCGAGCACGTTCTGGTTTGGGGTTACATGGGTTTTTCTCCAGCTTCCTCCAAGCATTCCAAAATTGGACAGCTTCGCTTCAGCCATGACGAACTCGGATGGTGTGAATGGTTCGTGCCGTGCGATCGGCGGGCAACCAGTCCGAGGTGTGCCCCCGCCTCACACACAATGCCAGCGGGGAGATGCTCCAGCTCACTTGACACTCAAGTGAGGAGAGGCGCCCGAGATCACGGATGGATGCGGTAAAGTCACTTTGAAGTGATGTACGTTCCAGTCTTGTATGATTGCAGTTTGGGTTTAAAATAATTCACTTTTTGGCGGTGGAGGGGCGTCGTCGTTCATCATGGGAGTTTCGGTATTTGCGTCTGGGCATGGTCGCTATGGGCGGGAACTCGTGCATTTTCAAAGTGAAATACTGAAAACAAGGTTCCATTTCAATGACAAAAAAAGTAAAAACGACATGACTTCAAAGAAAAAAAAAGTGACTTACCTGACCACCTTCATGACCTGCAGTCAGCGTTTGGCCTTTTGGCCTTAGCTATGCACAAGCACAACAACTAAGCTGGAAATAGCGCTCGGGTAAATGAAGATGGCAAGATTGATACTACGCCGGGCGAGGATGGTGTGCCATTTGATGTCAACAGGAAGTGACAACATAGGCTGGCTTCTGATTCTCCGCCGTGGATACGGTTTATTGTGGTGGCAACCCGACGGGTCTTCCCCCCACCCCCCCTTTGACACGCAAGAAACATCCTTGGCGACCAAACGACGGTCTCGTCGACAGTCCGTCACATCATGGCCTGACCACAGATCACGTCTTGAGCACTCTTAAAGTGACGGCAATGATGTCACTTCCTCCCATCGTCTCCCATCTTTGGCAAACCTCACATCACATCTTCAACACGCTCCGTTGCCGCTGGTGACGTCACTTGCTCTTTTTACCTCCGGCGTCTTCCGGTGGTTACGTCTGACTGACAATTCAACCCTCCCAACCTAAATTGTAAATTTTGAACTGAAGGTGATGTCACTTCCTCCAATTGACCTGCCTCGCGACATCTGACTTCAAATAATTCTTCTGTTTAATGGTGGTGGTATGTGCTGCTTGTTTTTTTCTTTCCCCTGCCTCCTGATGGTTGCGTCCGACTGACAACGTGACCTCAGATGCCATCACTCGAGGATTTGTGGCGATTTCAATTCGTCCTCTTGTCCCGCCTCCTCACAACTGCATCCGGTTGACGGTATGAGCGCGTCGCGTCACATCTTCATTCCAGAAGTAACATCAATCCGGTGTGTTCTAACGATGATGTCACTTTTGTGCACCTCGTGGCTCACATCGTCGATGAGGCAGTGATGTCACCACCCCCCGCCCCCTTCGCCCTTCCTCTTCGTGGTTCCACCCGACAATCGTGGACACGTGACAGCGTTATGTTGAATGGCAACCCTGCGTCGCCTCCCAAGGTTCACGTCTGTGATTGAAAGACGACACCTCATATTTTCTTTGCCAAAGTCAAGTTGAGGGACGAATACCTGCGATCCTCGTGGCCGTTCCTTTCATTAGCATCCTGTCCAATGTCCGCGGTGGGTTGGAACCAGGTCCGTTGCTGCGATTCCGTTCCTCAAAAAGGAGTTTTGGATTTAGTCGTTCGTTAGCATTCACGTCCACTCGCACTTGTTGGCAAGCGCTGGATGGACGTCTGTTCCTTGAAACGAAGACGGGACGTTCTTTGGCATCGACGGGATGGCTTCTGTGTGCGAACATGTTTCCTGGCATCCATGTTGAGAGTCCAACAGGATCGGACGGCAGAATGTGAACAGAAGGATGTCCGTTATGGTAACCGTTCCTATAAATGAAAGATACCAGAACTCTTGATGTTGATTCGTTGTCATTTTCAGTCCAGTACGTTCAACCTCCACGTTTGGACGAAAGGACGTCGATTACGACGCCAACGCTCCGTGAAATGAAGGCGACTTGGAATGTTCCTTAGTAGCCACTTTGCGTCGGACGAACTGACGTCCTTGAAAAGATCAAGAAACCTTTCTCGCCGCTGTTCAACTTTGCCTCGCCGTCGTCGGCCGTGTGTGTCGTCACATGACCATGTTTGGCGTGAGAATGGATTCCGGGTTTTTGCCGCATCCCAACCAAGCTTTTCAACATTTCATCCGGATCACTCAAGTCGTTCGCCGGGGGAAAAAGGTTCAACAAGAATAAAAAGCTGCACATTTTATTCAATGAGATCTTTGACAAGGACTCCACGAGTCTCCAATTGAAACTTCCTCGCGGAGGTTTTGTTGTCTTCTCCTTTGACCGGCATCTCCTCATCCATACGTTCACCTTTCCACTTGATTCATCGTGTGATCCTTCAAAGGTCTTCCAGGGGCTTCCCGGAGCATCGTATTTTCACGTTGTCGCCGAAGTGGTGCCGAGGTGCGACGCGTTCTAAATGTGCCGATGTGGCAGAAAGTTGCACAATTCGCCCACGTCCACCCCGATGCCTCTTCTCTAGTCCAAAAAGGTTCCGTGTTGGCAACAGGAAGCAAAAGCATTCCATGGAATGCCAACTCTTCCAGTGATGTCATCAAGAACCTTGAGGCAAGAGGTGATGTTGGGGTTTGCATCCCAATTCTTTCTTCTGATGACCTTTCTGTCAGAACAGGCCGCGTGATGACAACCCTCCAATCCTATTTTTTCTCTTTTCTCCTGAAGATGTCACGCGCGTGCTGAGATGTTTTCATTCCGATTTCCATTCGTCCTTCTGTCACATCCGGGCCCCCCCCGAAGAACATTCCGGATGTCTCTCACCCTACTCGTCCGCTTCCCAGTAAAAACTCGCCCTAACTTTTATTCTTTCCTCTTCCTGCTTCTTTTCTAACTTTGAGCGACGAGGACCAATGGGAATACTATACCTGGTGTGCAGGGCGGGCCGGCTCATGTCCACTTTGATGACGAGTGTTTCCTCCGTGACCACGGTCATGTTTTTGGAGTCTGGTTCCTTCCACGCACGGGGCCTGGGCCAGTCCACGTCCAGGTCCAGGGCGCTCCTGTGCAAGTGTTGATCCACATTGGCGGGCCGGATCTGTTCCAAGCGTCTGTTGTCTTCTGTCCTGCTGGGCTCCACCCCTTCCTCCTCCGCATTGGAGTAACAAGCTTCACTTTGGGATTTGTATCCCGCTCTGGGCTCCTCACGAGGAAGGTTTTGGTAGCTCTGGGAGTCCTGCTGAAAGTCTGTCCGGTTCCCGTTGTGACTGAACCCACCTCTGCCCACATGAGACCCGCCCCTCCCCCTATGATTTGTGGGGGAGCCTTGTCTCGCAAAATTTGCCCGTTCTTGCGGCGGGGAGCTCCTCTTGCTTTCCGAGCCGTCCCTCCAATTATCTGGAAAGTGGCGACTTCTGGAATCTTCCCGGACATCGGGCCTGCTATTTGTAGTCTGGAACTGCTCTTGTGAGGAGCTTGCTGGTCCGGTGCGTTTGTGTCGCAACCCAGCGTCACGGTGTCCGCTGTTATCCAGGTGTTCCCGCTGCGGTCTTTTACGGTCGTTTTGGAATCCCTGACCGTGTTCAGTGAAGTGAGGAGTTCCTGATCCTGGAGGATCCCGGGAGTAGTCTCCGTCACTCTTGACGGAGGAGTAGCGCCAATCCCCAGAATCCTTGTTGTTCCGCCTGAACCTGCGACAGCGAGACGGCACGTCAACATCGACAAGAGAAAGTCAGCAGAACGCAAGAAGAGGATATCGTTCGTGGGCTGTAAAATTACCCGCTGTGATGTTGGCCGTCTATTTCGGATTTCGGCCGCTTTAAGACGGGTTGGGCATCCTCTCTTTGCCTGCTTCTGTTCAGACCTTCGGTGCTCTTTTCTCTTCTGCTTGCTCTTTGCTCCTCGGATCGAAAACCGGGGCTGGAGTCTCGAAACCGCCCTTGGCATCGCCAATCAGCATCCCGCCTCCAGTCTGGCGGTCCCTGCGAGTGATCTGAACGACTGTTAGTGGGCGGCGGTTCCCCCCGGAATCTCGGATGTGAACAGGGTGACCTTCCTCTGCTGTTAAAACTGTGAACATTTTCTCTGAAGCCTCTCCTTGGTCTGTCTGGATCAAATCCTCCATCCCGCTGGGGGGAGCCTCTTGGGCGGTCTTTGAAGTTGCGTTGAGGTGACGGCCGCCGGTGAAAACTCCCCTCCTGATCTCGCTGACGCCAAAAGGAATCCTGCGGAGGAGGGACTTTCCTATGGCCTTGTGGGAACATGTCCTCACCAAATCGACGTTCGTCATCTCTGGCATTGGGCCTCCAGTCCGATGGACCTCTATACTGTTCCGCTGAACCTCTGTAAGGTCTGTGTTCATCCCATGGGAACCTCCTGGAAAGCAGCGTGATCACAATGAGCACATGAAACGTTTTTGCAACAGACACCAATCAGTTCCTCTAAGAATTTAAACAAGAGCAACAATTCATGCAAATTCAATCCATCTCTGTGAAAGATGTGCCATCTTGCAACCCATCTCTGGAAAACAGCGTTCAATATTTTCGCAGACTTCCTGACAAATGTTATAAACCAAGCCAGTAACTGAACCATAATCATTTTAATGTTTTGTAGATGAGTTCATGTGAGAGATTTCACCGACCGAGGTAAAGAGGAGCAAAATCGTAATGATTCATTGTAAAGTAAGCTACTACAAATAACACACAATCAGACATTATTGGTAGCGATGACCAAAAAAAAAAAGTTAAATCCTGGAGCGACTGCAAAGTGGGCCTTGTATGCTGTCATTGCATCTACCTGCTTTGTGGTGGCGGAGACATCTGCCTGGACATTCCCGCGGCCTTTGAAGGGAAAGAAAATGTTCGGAGAGAATAAAGTCAACACAGAACTGTTACATAATGCCTTGTACACCATTTCCAACAGAAATCTCACGGCTTTTTGAAGGTTTCGTGGAATTCACGAAGTCTTACAAGTTTACAAATGACAAAAGTAGCGGTATTCTACAGTGCAATTAGTGAATGCTGTTGCCAGTCACGTGGTGCTCACAGTGGCAGCTTGGAGCGCAACTCGCCGCAATTAGCATCAAAGCTAATGTTAGCGCTCACTTCTTTCACACACCATTTTGGGGGGAGCACTTTAACTACTACGAGATGGGTCCAGTGAACGACACTTCAATCTTTAGCAAAACCTTGCAATAACACGGAAAGCTGTGGCAGCACATACAAGAAGAGATGCGCTAGCTATGGCTAACTAGCAATTGGCGTAAATACCTGCGTCTTCCGAGACGTCCTCGGTCGAGTACCGCAGCGAAAACCAAGCGCGCTTTAAAGCAACGATATGCACACTCGACGGTTTCAGTTGCCAGTCGTATTTATTGCTACAAGTACACTTCAAAATCGCCTTTTCGCTGCTATCCCGCCCAAATGTGACGGAAAATGGCTGAATGCGCGTTCATGTTTTTTGGTCTCGCTTTTCTTCTTCGCCTTCTCTTGTTTGAGGTAGTTGCAAAGACGTGTAGGCACATTACCGCCACCAACTGTTCTGGCATATGAGGCAAATTTCACATTTCTTCAACAATTGTAACTGTAGTTCAAGTTCAACTACTGCATTACCACTTCTTTCTGTAATAGCACTGCTTTGGCTTACCAGTTGGACACTAGTGGCGCACTGCTATCAACTAGTATGCAGGTTTGCCTCAGTAGTAACGTAATGAAGTTGCTATTTGAGCGTTCATTCTTGATCCTTGATTTCCAGCTTAGGGTTGTACGACTAGTAAGCCAAAAGTCACACGAGAAGTGGAAAAGCGGGACAAATCTATTTGTTGTCTGGATAGAGATGGAGAATAATGAAGACATTTCTGGACAAGCTTGTGTCCGAGGAAAATCCCAAATGGCAGACATAACTGTATCTTTGTCCCTTTCTGAACCTGTAACCCACAAGCGGACATTTAAACGTCTTGCCTGTCGCCGGCATGGATCGGTCAACCAACAGAAAGACACATGTGATCGCTTGATGACATTTATTGATGCTACTTAGCAGTAATCCATGCATCACATCTACAATGATATACTCAACCAGGCTGCGGCGTAGGAGTAGTAGAGGAGACACGGGCGGCCTTTATGTCAGCCTCGCAACCACAATGAGCGTAAAGCTAACGTGTGTGTGTGTGTGTGTGTGTATAAACATGTTTGTCTGCTCCTCCCTCACCTCCCGTGTGCCAACATGGAGGTGCGCTCGAGGTTGAAGGCCTCAGAGGTGACGAGTGTCCACGGGTGAGGTATATTCGGGGGCGAGAGTGAACGTGGGATAGAGTAATAATAGTGCATACTCCAGCTAGCGTTGTTAGTCGCTGCCTGACAACTACACACATACACGACTTGCAAAAAGTCTGGAGATTTCACCTCACAGCTCATTTTTCCAAACTTTTTGCAGCTAGTGCACGTCTGAAAACCGTGTGACATTTCTGAGACCCTGGCAGTGGAATCTGGTCCACAAAATATCCGCAGGAGCCGAAGCTACAGGCTACAAATCAACAATATGGAGAAACCAAGCAACCAAGTCCAACACCTCCAGTGAAGACTTTTTCTCTCGCGCTTATTTACATATGTCCCAAAAACACGAGCTGGAAGCAGATTTAAGCGGGCGGCAGTGAAGGTGGCCCACTTGGACTTCAGCAGGAAACAGATGTTCCTCTCTTCTGAGATCTTTTGGAAAGGTCTGCAGTCATCAGATTAATAATCATCATCTCTGTTGTCTTAACGTTTGCCTGGATGATCAACCGTTCCTCTTAAATCGTCATCTGCTTATCTTCTAATTAAATTCCTTACACAGGCAAACAAACATCCAAGATGGCAAAAGGTGAAGCGTCCTCCGATGGCACCGGGAGTGAACAAACCCTAAAGTGTCATTTGCTTGAGATGGAGTGATGGCGAAAACTGGCTTCATGGCTCTAATTAACATTTCAACAGCTAAGTCGATTCCAAAATAGCATGCTGGGACAGATGGGGACTGTCTGATTCATTCCAGAGCCAGCAAGAAATGAAATGCCACTTAATATGCAGCTTGTCTCTGGATTTTGGCCTGTCTAACTGCCGTGGCTCTAATTAACATTTCAACAGCTAAGTCGATTCTAAAATGGCATGGTGGGAAGATGGGGACTGTTTGATTCATTCCAGAGCCAACAAGAAATGAAATGCCACTTAATATACAGCTTGTCTCTGGATTTTGGCCTGTCAAACTGCCGCTTCCCCCACCCCCAACCTCATCTGTCCAGATAAATAATCTTCACTTGACTTCACCTTGGTGTATATCATACCACCATAATTTGTAAATGAGCCCAGCCCACCATTGTGTGGTTCTTTTGGTGACCCCTTTTGAAGGCCACGATCGCTTGAGCTTGACTTTTGTAATGCTCGGAATAATGGCGCGGATTTGAAATGGATCGCGCGGTGTGGTCTACTCAGCCCAGGCATGCAGACAAACTGAACTCGTCGTCATGATGAAACCATGACGGACATACATATCAATCATCCATCAGAAGCTACAGCTACTCCGTTTTCCTCGCCTTCTGCCACCCGAAAGTATTCCGCCCCCCCGTTGTTGACAAACATTACAAATTGGCAAATTGTGATACTCCGTTTTCCTCGCCTTCTGCCACCCGAAAGTATCCCGGCCCCCGTTGTTAACAAACATTACAAATTGGCAAATTGCGACGTGTCATCATTCAATCGCTAAATCAACCAGTGAAGTTTGGAGTTACTGAAGAAGCTACGTGTGCTCATTTTGGGAAGTTTTCGGGGAGCCATCGGGTTGAACGCTGATGAGCAGTGGCTCTTTCTGGAGAGAAAATGACGATCGCTGCTGCATTCAGTCGAGAAGCCGAGGATGCAAATCTCCTAAAAAAAAAAAAAATTAAAAAAAAAGAAAGAAGAAAAACAGGAAGTGTTCCACTGTGTCTGTGACGCTGGAAATACAGTCCTTATGTTTCGTTTTGTAACAGCTAAAGATGAAAATATTATGGTTGCTCGTACACGCCGTACTGTGGACAAAGTGTTGTACCTGCGCGTCCACGTCCAGCAGGTTACACGTCCACCTCGCCAGATCCGACGCCGTGCCCGCCCGTCACCGGCGAAAACTCCTGAGCGCTGGCCGGCTCGTCCCTAGACACTGGACTGACGGACACAGACGAACAACTTACAGGGACCAACGCTGACCCCAAAATTGGATGTGTTGAAGCAGTTGGAGCACTTTGGTGAGCACTTCCTTACCTGACGTCCATAGACTGGACGCCGTCTGACAGTTCGTCCACGCAGCTCTTGTTCTCCAGGGGGCCCAGCAGGATGACGGGAGCCTCGGCGGGAGTCGGGGCGTCCTCCTCCAGGACGAGCGCCGCCATTTCGGACCTCACGTCGCACGCTGACAACACGTCACAGCGCGACATGCAAGATTGATTTCGTTTTCCACTTCATCTGCTCACTTGAAAAGTGGGTGGCTTCAAACAAAAGCTGACCTTGCCGTTCCAATACTTTTGAAGGGGGCTGTATCTTTGGGCATTTTTGAATTGGAATTTCTCACACACTATTTTTTTTGGGGGGGGGGGTAACTATCCATCTATTATGAGGGTCACATGACCAATGGATGAAGAAATCCTGCTGTGCATCATCAATATCTCGTAAACACAACACAGTCGGACACCACTGGTTCCAGCTGTATATACATTAAATATTTTTTTAAATCGCTTTTGGTGTTTTGTGCCATCCAAGTTTCAATTTAGAATTTTTTTTTCCAGGATTTTGATTTTCTTTTTTTATTTTACAGATTCAAAATATTTGCACTTCAACATTTTCTCTTCGAACTGACTCTACGGGAGTACTGGTGTACTCCAATAGAGGGCGCATTTCCTTGCCTGCTGAGTCACACTCGGGTGACCTCACAAGTGTGAGGCAGGCATGCAGTGACGTCAGCGATAGAGCACGAGATAAACAAAAGAGCGTGAACGTTAGAAGATGGCGGAGGTACCTCCAGCAGCGGGCGGAGCTTCCACGTCACTCTTGCGTGTTCTTTTCATGATTTCCTCAATTCTCTACAGGACGGGAAAAGATGGGTGATGACGGAGGAACGGTGTTAAGAAGCAGCAAGCAGTAGTTTCATGAAAAGGAGACGCGTCTTCCTCCTCCTCCTCTCACCTTCTTCCTCTGCTGCCTCTCCTGCTCCTCCTGGATGTGAAGCTGCTCCCGTTCCCTCCTCTTCCTCTCAGCTTCTCTCTGGGCTCGCTGGAAGGCCTCCTCCCTCTGATGAGTAGGAAAAAATAAATTAACGAAAAGCCGGAGCACATCACTGCTGCCACGCGATGTTTGTCGGCCGGCGAAACAATCGAAACAAAGACGAGAGCAGACCTCCTTGTCCAGCTGCTCCTGCATGTTCTTCCATCGCTGCTCCTTCTGCCGGCGCTCCTCCTCCTCTCTGCTCTTCCTCTCCTCCTCGCGCTGGGCTCGCTCCTCCTCCGCCTGCTGTGCCGCGCTCTCCTGAAGCTCCCGGGCCTCCTGCTGCCTCCTGCGCTCCTCCTCGGCTCGCAGCCTGCGGGAGCCAGGCGGCGATGAGTGAACGTTTCTTGACAATGTTTTTTTTTTTTTAATGACAAATTTTAATTAAGTGGGGTTTTTTGTGTATTAATTTTTTTATATAATAACACACCAATATTGGGAAAAATATTAATTCATACAATAATTTCTCATTTAAACTTAATTATCTATAATTTAACTGCACTAATAGTTTTTTTTTAATGGGGAAAAAAATGTAGTGCAATAACATGGAAAAATGTTATTTTGATTCTTCAACGATATGAATATTTTCATTTGTGTATATTTATTTTGATGACCAAATGGACATTGATTGTCATTATCTTTCATAAAATAATGATTATTTCTCATTCAAGAATTAATTGCAATTTATGACTTATCATAACTAAGCGGTTATTTAGCATACATGAAAGCAACACATTGAAGGATTTCATTCTGAATTATTTCCAAAAAGAAACCCGAAGTGGACTCACAGCTCCTCCTCCCGCCGCTGCCGTTCCTCCTGCTCCTTCTGTATCCGAGCCAGGCGGCGGCGCTCGGCCAGCAGTCGCGATGCCTCCTCGGCGTCCATGGTGCCGCCTACGCTGCGGCCCGTCGGCGTTCCCGGGGACTCTGAAAGCGTGGGGGTCAAAATGCGACAGTTCAGCATCATGTCACCGCATCGTGCAACCTCCCAACGCCAAACCCTCCGTCATTTTCGACCAAGGCCTTGTGCTCTTCACCTGCACACAATTCTCGGCTGGTAGATTTATGGATCTTCTTGTCGGAGCTTTCACATTTGCCAGACTTCCTGTCCAAGGTGCCGTGGTGAGCCCTGTCGTCGCCGCCGGGAGTGGTGGCCCTCTGCCGGAGAGGGGAGGGCGGGTACTGACCCGGCGAGCAGGGCGACTGAGCCCGACTTCTGCTCGCTCGCACCCTGGAAGCAAAACCACCGCATCAACGTGAAATTTCGGTGACGACAGTGGACTGCTTATCAGGTTACAGGGTGCATGAAAGGGTTCGAAATATATCTACAAAAATAATGGGTCCATTTCACTGACTAAGAATTAATTGGGCCTGTTTATTTTGCCGCTTGAAAAAAAAAACAAACATTCATTAGACAGTAAAAATGTCATTTTGTGTCTAAATGGTCAATATCGATATGGCAATACTCAACACCCATCCCGTGTGAGTATGTGTATACCTTTTTGGCGTAGCAGGACCTTTACTGTTCGCTCTGAAGGAGGAATTGCGAACAGGTGCAGCAGGAGCCTCTCCCTGGGCGGGACATTTGGAAAGGAGACGAATTCTGAATCTTTAGTAATGACTGAACTGTAATTGTGCACGCAATGTGTGTGTGTGCGGGTGCTGACCGTGGGCGTTCCAGCTCGAGACGTCTCCTCGGGGAATGCGGCGACGCTTCTGCGGTTGGAGGAACTTCTGTGAGCTCTGTGCTTGTTGGAAGAAGCTGCTCGGCGACACACAAAGTGCATAACATCGCAAACAAGCACACGCGTGCTCGCTTTGTTCTAGATGCTAACAGGACGGAGTTGAAAAAAGGAGATGCGAGTTTGGGAGTCACCTGTCTCTGGGGAGTGGAGGGCAGCGGACGAGTTGGACAGCTGCTTGCTCATTGGCTGATCGGACGGGGTGGGCGGGGCCAAGAATTCACAGGCTTTCAAACAAAAGGAAGACGGAAAACATCACTGATGGGAAGTCAGCCGGGAAGTCGATCAGTGTTCAAACGTGAGCTCAAGAGAGCCAACACGACACCCAAAAATGACGGATGAGCCACAGAGTGATGTCGCCAGGTTACCACGGTGATCAAGAATCGGCTTCATCATGAAATGGACGATGGTGCCGCAGGAGGACCACGAGACGTCATCGACAGTCATTGTCCATTTTTTTTTGAGGGGGGGGATGATGTTTTACCATTTGTATGCTACTCTCAACTTAAATATAGCTGAAACATTCATATTTCAAACAAAAAGAAGACGGAAAACATCACTGATGGGAAGTCAGCCGGGAAGTCGGTCAGTGTTCAAACGTGAGCTCAAGAGAGCCAACACGACACCCAAAAATGACGGATGAGCCACAGAGTGATGTCGCCAGGTTACCACGGTGATCAAGAATCGGCTTCATCATGAAATGGACGATGGCGCCGCAGGAGGACCATGACACATCATCGACAGTCATTGTCCATTTTTTGGGGGATGATGTACGCTACTCTCAACTTAAATATGGCTGAAACATTCATCCCTCTTGCAAAGAGCTCCCTCTTGTGGTATCCGAAAGAATCTCTCAACGGTGCGTAATGTTACAGCGACCTCAATGACAATGTTGTCATTTGAGTCCAGTTTTAATACTCTCATATTTATGTCTTGGAAACAATCTCTAATGGGTCTCGAGTCGATCCGCTTCTGCTTTATCATGTCACTGATAAACTGCAATATTGACTGTGTGTGTGTGTGTGTGTGTGCACTCGTGTGTGCATCAGAAGACACCAGCAGGACAGGAAGAGACGCAGCCCTTTGTTGGTCGAAGGGTGGGGGAGGGGGAAACTCCATTACAACATAGATAAACACACGTGGCAGGTCAGCGATGTTTTTACGACTGTACTGGAAATGAAACTGCACATCAATATCACATCGGAAGATAAACCAACACACGCCGCAGACACAGTGGCCGGCTGGGAGAGCCACGATGGTGACATGCAAAGGCGGCGAGAAGCGAGCTGGCAGCAATCGGGCGAGGCACACACAGACAACATCTGTACCGTTACGGGTTTGGTGGGTGCTGGAAGCAGCGGGGAGCCGATTGGGCTGAGCGGAGCCAAAGGCGTGGCAGGGCGGGGTCTTAGTGTTACCTGGACGACAGGTTGGAAGCAAACGCGGACAAAAGCAAAAAAGCTTTACACGAGCAGACACGCGTGAAACACACACACACACCCACAGGAAACCAATTTCCTCATGATGCGTTCAGAAAAACTGGGAAGAATTTTGGCGATGTCACACTTGGTATCCAATTGGCGGAGGGGTGGGCAGAATTTTGTGCTCCAAGGCCACAGGGGCCAGATCATTTGTAAATTAAGCAAAAAATAAAATAAAATAAAATAAATAAAAATGTATGTAAGAATGAAAAGTTCAAATTTGCTGGAACACAGCATGATGATGCATTCGGGAACTGCAAAAAAACAAAAAACAACCCCCCCCCCAAAAAAAAAAACGTGCTTCTGAGGCACAAAGAGTAGACAGCCACTTTCAAAATGGCGGCCAAATACTGACATTAAGGTGAGCATCCCGGCAATGATGACATCATCTTTACATCTTCTTGTGACGGTTCTTTTCATTATGGGGCCTCCTCTTAGTTATGGTTTACTTCCTGTTAAAATCATCGATCGTAAAGATGAATTTGAAACCGGAAGCCAAGCCGGAATACCGTACTTATTCTGATTTAGGGTTCGGGCTGAGCTGGAGACGTTCCAAGCGTGGGTGGGATACAAATAAGCATTCACACGGCAGGACAAATAAGCGTACTCGCATTCAAACTGAAGGACAATTTCAGTCTTCAACGAACCGGCAAACACGCAAACGCCACACTTTTCGCGGGCCGCAAAAAGAAAAAAAGGAAAAAAAAAAAGAGGGGGGGGGGCGGATCTTGTGTGAGGCGCATCAAGCATGTCAACACACCACAGTGGAAATCAAGCAAAGCTCTCTTGAGGAAGATCAAGCAAACGCACGGGATGAGACGTCCCGCGAAAAGACAGCGTGCGCATCTCTGTCCCGTAATGGCCGCCAAGCTTATGCTGCAGTGAGCCGGGCCGCTGGGCGGGTCCGATCGCAGGTCAGCCGCCAGGCTGGGCCGGGAATCAATTACTGACGCCGGCGTTGCCGATACGTCATGTGACGCGCCGGGGGGCAGGGAAGCTTTGCAATGGGCTGCGTCATTTGTTTTGGGGAAAAGTAAGAACGAAAAGGTTGAGGTGGCGGTGTTGCATTCAAGGTTACGTGGATGTGACGCGGCCTTTTCTACACACACACACACACACACACACACACACACACACACACACACACATCCACACACCTGTGGCATATTTCCAAGGCTAAAAGCACGAGAGGCGTTAAGGAGGAGGAGGAGGAGACAAAGCGGCTCCTGCATCGCAGCCTCCACACCCTTTCCTCCTCCTCCTTTGTCTCCTTGGTGACCTCCAGCATCCGTCGGTGACACTCACCCCCCACACCATCCGGCGGCCCCCCCCACGTCCATCGCTTGGGCCTGTTGTCCAGCTGCTCGTGGGCCTCTCCTCCTCCCCGGCGCTCGGCGCCGCCGCACCCGGCTCTCCGGCGCACCAGGGCCTCCAGCCTCTCCTGCTCGTTGCGTTCAGACACGGGGAAGAAGAGACACTCCCTCACGGAGCCATCACTACGGCGACGCACGCCGGGCGATGCGCAGAGTGACGGCTGCGCCATGGTAACCGCATCCGAGCGAGCGGCCTCGCCCCTTTGCTGCCTTCCCCGCTGCTCTTCTTTGGTGTGAAGCTCGCCGCTCTGACGCCAGAGCAGAGGGAGCGAGAGAGCACCGCGGCACACCTCACTTCCTCTCTCTCTCTCTGTCATTCCCCTCCCCCCCAAGCCTCGCTCTTCCCCCTCCCCTTCCCACTGCCTCACCTTCCTCCCTTTAGGGAAGGCATCTTCATGTAATGTAACAGCCACCTATGTAACGTTCTCACATGATGTAGCATCCCCACGTACAGAATAGGGAAAGGCAAGTACCGACACCAGAAATCTGTATTGGGCTCATAGTGGTCTTATTTTAAGGTATCGAGATCTCATGGAGGCTGCCAATACCAGCCACTGATACTTAAGGCAACAACCCCCCCCCAAAATAAGTCTGACAAAAAAAAAAAAAACATACGCTGATGAAGTCATCGCTCGCTGTGGCCACGATCATTATGTCATTAAATTGTGGGGTCGGGTGGCGGGCGGGGAAGGGGTGGCGCTGGAGGATGCGAGCTCGCCAACAGAGGCACTGAATCTATAATGGAGACGCCCTCGGAGGACCGGACGGCCTTGGGGGCTCGTTAACCCGGCACACGTCCTCGGTCGCTTGTGTGTGCACAAACACGCACCAAAACACACTTGACGTTGTTTGAATCATAAAGAGCCCCTGTTGCCCCCGTCCGTGCCCACCTCATCAGTCACTGCCACCATTTTGTCCTTCACTTCTTCTCAACTATTGTGCCCTTATATGGAAATGTGTGGCAAATGTGTATTTTGGACATAACCATATACGGAATATCTCTCTGTGCTGCCGGAATATGAAATGTGATTTTTAACTTTGCGCCATCAGTCAATGAATGCAAGAGAAGAAGATTCAAAGTGACCTCTGACCTTCTCGGCCTCCTGCTGCTGCCGCCGCTGTTGCTTTTCCTCGGCCGGCAGGCGGCGCTGCTGATCCTTGCGCCTCGGCGCCGCCGTCACACGCTCTCGCTGCTTCTGTGCGCAACAATCTTTGTCCCGCGGCACCATCGACAGCTCTGCACACATACCCGCAAGCTGCACTCGTCGACATTTTCCAATATGTTCTTACGTCGAGTGAATCAACCATCGCTGCGCGTCATCAATTATGTGACATCACTTCCAACTATTTTCTATAGTCCTCATTGGACTGGTCGCCAGTCAATAGCAGAGCAGGTATAGACAAACAGTGGATTGGGCGCTCGGCAATGTCAGGGTAGATGTAGACCAGGGGTGCTCAAGTCCAGTCCTCGAGAGCCCCGATCCAACCATTTTTCGATGTCGACATCTAAAAAAAGTTGGGTAGGGGCTTGCGAAGACCGGACTTGGGCGCCACTCATGAAGACAAACAACGGACTGGACAGCCAAATGGTCAAAGCTAACCTGTGGGGCTCCTGTGACCGGCGGGCGACTGACAAGGCGATGCCATCCTATTGGTCAGCGGGGTTGCAGGAGGAGGGGCCAGAGCTATATATTTTTGGGGGGGGGCAAGGGGGGAGGGTGAACAACGTGATTCACTGTGCCGGAAGGAAAGGCACAGATGTAAATATAGAACATAAGCTGGAGAGGAAAACGTGACAGCGCCATTGCCGCTGCAGACCCACACCACCAGAGCTCACGCATGTGCATACTAGTAAAACAACTTTGGCATGTTTCCAGTGAGGCAAACCTGTGCATTTGTTGACATCTACACAGTACTAGTACTACTCGTGAGGCCGTAGATCTTAACTAGTAGAATTACTCAAATAGTCTTGCCTCACGACTAGCATGTAGTTGTCCTCCTACTAGTGAGTCCAAATAGATTACTAGCACTGCAGATGGATATCAAGAACCTGGAATAAATTATTTGAGCTCGTATGTCAAAAGTCTCATTAAACATGGAAAAAAAATGAATTGTCTGACTAGTGAGGACAATGAATATACTAGTACACAGCCCTTGAGCTGGATGTAGAAGAAATGCTTCCAATTGCTTTCCCTAATTCCTTCTTGTGCATGTCAGTACAATGAAATGAAGAAAAAAAGAAGTGACCTGTCAAAGCAGCCGGACGAGTCGGAACCACTTGCGTCATCACGATGAGAACGAACCGGGTCGGATCCTAGTCCAAGAACACTTTGGAGGCACTCGGATGACTCCGAATGGAAGAATGACGATGAGGGATGTTGGGAAGAGGAGCGAGGGATGGATGGATGAGAGGAGGGAGGGAGGGGGAGGACATGCGCTCTGTTACCCTCATTAGCTAGCTCTAATTTAGCTTAGCATTCAGTGATGACGACACAATCGAAAACAGAACGACGGGAACGTTATTAAAAAAAATAAAATAAAAAAAGGCCACTTTTATTACGGTTTCACCCACCACCATGTGGGTTATTATTAGCTTCGCGTTAATTAGCCCGTCACCGCTGTCTCATTTGCATATTCATTTGACGAGTGTCACTCGCCAAGTCACCTAGCAACCGAGTAGAAACAACCAAGCTACCAACTGGAGATTTTATCGTTTGATGATAGTAATCTTGATAAGAATAACAAAATGTCAAAATGATATGCTCTGAATTCGAGACACGTTTTTCCTCACGTGCTCTCACTTGGCGCACGTGCCGGAGAGAGCAGGCAAACCTCTGGCGGCGTCCCGACGTCACAGCTGGCGCCGGCTGGGGTTAATACGCGATGACGTCACGCGTACGTGATTTGACCTCCAGGCTGTTTGTTCCCAAAATGTCATATTGTGCTTGTCCTATTTTTGCGTGAACAACAAATGTCTCCATTTTGGAATTTATGTAGCAAAACACATTCCGGCACAATTGTTTATCAATTCACAACAGTGGAAATGGATTAGTATTGATCTCAAAGAATTTTCCATCCTTTATTGTAGCTGCTATGCTACAGCTCTGTCAGTGATTTATCTGTTTGACGAATTTGAATTTTTTTCCATAAAACACATTTTTTTAGTCTGTTCTTTCACCTCAATACTTCAAACCTGTCAACTTCTTCGGTTGCATGTGTCTTCGTATCATTTTTATCCAACAGCTTACTGTATTGAAGATCACTTGGCATTTTTTGTTTGAATGAATTAAAAAAAAATATGTATCTGTACTGTGGGGGGGTTAGAGTTAAGATCTTTTATTAGACACTCAGCTGTCACACATTGAACATTTTAGTCTTCAGTTACAGCATAAAGCTCCGGCTAGCCCCCCCAGCCCGATTGTGAAGTGGGCGCAGTCCTACTCATAAAGGAGGGCACAGGAGGGCAAACAAGTAGTCCATAAACATAAACCATCCTTTTTTTTTTTTTTTAAACCGATAAAGTAAGATTGAGTGAGGTTGTCCTGGTGTGTGTGTGTGGCAAGATGTGAGAACCGAGAAAACAGCAGAAACGCAGAAGGGGGGGTATTTGGTATTTGAATAGGTATCTGTAGACTTTGAAGATCAACTGTGAGTAATTTGCAAAGTGGAATTTAGAATCAGTGATGTAAGGTAAACGAAAACCTTCCTCCGCTGCTGTATACAAAGAAAAGTAAAAGAGTAAAAGTAGATTTGCGGATGTTTTTGGGACACGAGCGGAGCCGGGATGAGCCTCATACGGAAGTCACAGCGAACATGAATCGAGTGAAGACATCCCATGAAAGGAAGACAAAAGAAAAATGAAAGGGGAGGAAAAAAAAGGTTAATGTATTTATTGGTGAATCCAAAGATTCTGCAATTCTGCTTAAATTCCACCAGACGTGAAATGAATATAAATACACTTTTTTTAAAAGGACTTAATGTTTTCGCAGTCATACGCTCCTCCAAAGAAACGCAGGAGGAAACCAAGAAAAACGTTGGACTGGTTTTCAGTGGGGAGGAGTGAAAAAAAATGCTGTTTTTTTTCTCCCCCCGTTGTGTCCACATTGAGCAAACACGTCTAGTCATGTAAATGGAAATACACTTCATAATTTGTATACGGGATTCTAAAAAAAAAGATTTTTTTTCCCCCCAACGGCGCTGTATCGGCTCAAAACATCCCTGTTGGATAAACACGAGTGTGCATGTGTGTGGAAGTCTTTAGATCTGCAACAAGAAAAACAGTAAAATTGAGGTGAGATGATGTGACATCCCCACAAGGGAAAAAGAAGAACAAACACGATAACAACAAAAAACACTCACGTCATCAATATCTTCATCGTCATCGCCAATGTCATCAAACTGGATCTCGTCATCGTCTCCGGGACCGAACGTGTCTGTCTCGTTGATTTTGGCTGTAAAATGGGGGGGGGGAAAGAGATAAATTTCCTGGAATATTGGAAATGCCAATCATACATATTAAGTCATAATTTGTCAGTGATGCTTGGAAAATGTCAATGACATCATCCGTGCCTAGCTGACATCGACTTTCGGGGGTGGGGGGTGTGTCCTAAATATATCAGTGTTCCGTCCATCTCACCGTGCTCTGGGAGCTCGCCGTATGCTTTCAGACTTCGAGCCTCGTCCGCGTTGTACTTGAGGATGACGTCGGCCTTGTTGTCCTGCAACCAGACCAAACGGCCATCAATCGAGAGGCTCCTCCAATAACAACAATAACAACAAAAATGGCGGGCTTGCAGCGGCCATCACCTGGTAATCTCTCAGGCCCACCAGGATGATGTCCGACGTGTTGATCCACACCTGGAAAATGGCAGAGCACGTCACATAACCGCAGGTTCAACTCAGTGATACCGTGAGCGGCGGAGGCAGGGTTGGGGAGGGCGTTTGCGGGTCATGCAAGGACACTGCTGACTCAGCATTTATGTCAGGCGTGTGTGTGTGTGTGTGTGTGTGTGTGTGTGTGTGTGTGTGTGTGTATACCTTTTTCCGCAGCTTTCCTCTGATGTGGCAGAGCCGCTTGGTGCCATCGAAGCACATGGCCTCCAGGCGGCCATTCCCCAGCATTTTAATCACCTGAGCGTATTCTGGAAAACACGCGGTTGGAAGAGAGATGGAGAATATGTTGTGAAAATGCTAATATTCTGGAGCAATGTGAGAAGTGGCTATCATCTTTGTAGAATATGGACTAAACTTAAAGTGGCCATTCCAACCACACATTGTGACAGACTGTCACTTTTGGGGACTTTTGAGTAACGCCGTTTCTTCACATCAATAACCAGGAGTTGACTGTTGTCAAGGGTCCGCCCAGAACTCAAAATCATGCATGACACCTTCAACAATGACTTTAAATGGCCCACAGGTGTGAACTTGAATATGAATAAGTGTCTATATGTTAGTCGGTTACTTGTCCAGGGTGTATCTCCAGCTCACACACAAACCTACGAAGAATGAATGTCATGGGGGTCTATTGACGATCCAGAAAGAGTGCCAAATCTTCGAAGCCAGATGTCCATGCATTTTGATTTTATGATGATGAACTAACTTACCTTGTCCGTCCTCTTTAAACACCAACTCTCTCTTCTCAGACTCGTTTTCATTCTTTCCACGCCGCCGATTCTTTCCTCCCTTACCTGGAAGGAAGCAGAATCAGGACACCGGTTAGTTAGCACAAAATAATGTCAACTTTGACGAGGAAATGCTCAAAGGATTTGTCGTTTCGTGACTACCTATATTAACAAACGGTTGCGAAAATTTATAAATAATAATAATACATTTTATTTATAAGCGCCTTTCAAAATACCCAAGGACACTTTACAATCAATTGCTGAATTGATTAGACACAACAGTACGTCAGACCCATTGGCTAAAAATTCCACTATTACACCTGTCCAGCATAACATAACATAACACGGTCTGAAGCATAACAAGATATCAAACCTCATCAAGGTCCGATTGTATTGAAATAGACAGAAAAAAAAGAAAGGCGGTAAATGAAATGTAGAGGCCAAAGCGGGTGTGGTGAAACTCCAAAGTAGCTCGTTAAACACGTAACGAGCCGGCGAACCGATACTCGGCCTTTTCCTGAAAAAAAAACGACAAAAGATCGTCCAAAACAAACAAGAATAGACAAAGCTTCATTAACAATAAACAATAACGATGCCATCTGTGGAGGTACGTAGCATTAGCTGCTACTTGTCACGTTTTCCGTGCTTGTCTTGTGTGTGTCGCAACGGCGCGCTTTGGGACAAATCCAACCTCACCTTTATTTTTGGGCATATTCCCTCACGCTTTCGTCCCGATAATCCCAGTGGATGCAAAAGGAACGGTGAATTTGTTGAAAGGTGTCACGAAAGGCGTTTAGACCGAAGGAAGTAAGAGGCGACAAGCTAATTGCTAACACCACTGCTGATGAGTCTCACCGATCCAGTGGGCATGCGCATTGGTAATCTTGCAAAAAAAAGTAAACAAAACTTTATTCAGTAGTTTCGTTGACAAATTTCGAACGCGCGTTTTCTGAAAACGTCACTTTTCAGAGGCCGAAATAAAGATTGTTTAAACTGTGCTTTTAAAATGTCCACTGAATAGACATAGTTGTGTAAAACAAAAAAATTATATATATATATATATATATATATATATAAATAAAGAATTATAATTGTAAGTACAGTACACATAAGTACTTGATGAGATGTAGATCTCTTCCTTTTCTTTTGCATTGAAAAATGATCTATTTATATTATTACACAACAAGGGGTAGGACTAGATAAGTTGTATACTTCTTCCTACTCCTTTGAGCATATAACGGTGATGATGTTTGTTTTATTTACTTTTTATTTTTATTTCTCCTTTTGTAATTTTGTTTGCCTTTTGTCAATTGTTGTTGTATTGTATGTTCAATAAACAATTAACTAACTAACTAACTAACTAAC